TTCCGCGTGTAATTTAGATGCATAAAAATCATCTATATACATGAAAATGCGTATTGGACGGTAGTTTTTGTGATCTTACACCTTCAGCACTGTTCTGCATCTCATCCATCTACCGGTATCTTTTCCGATTCAAAATAAAGGGATGATCAAGTGTAAAGTGCTTTTACGGTCTTTCCGTCTTCTGTCTCGACTTTTTTTTAATGCAGATTCCATGCAACGATCCAGCCCCAGAGCATCCTTTGAATTCACGTAGCAAAAAATATGAAATGAAAAAAGCCCGATAATAGAAACCTCGACAATGTTTGCAATTTGACTGGGCGAGAAGTGAATTGTGGCCGAAGAGGAGGATGGATCGGCTTCTTCCATATCGTCGCCCGATTCTGATGGTGGCTGAAATGTAGCTAACTACAAAAAAGCATTTTCAAAGCATACCAATTCCAACAACAAAATTTCAACAACTAATTCCGCATACAACTCATACCACGCCGTCTATTCATAGTTCACCAAAAATTTTTTCCAGTATAAAAACTATCCCAGCAATAAACTGTGCAGTAACAGTGTTTAGAAAACAGCAAAAATTGCTTTATAATCATTCTAAGGAAGATCTAAAATATGAATGTGGATTTTTTGCAGTTAAATTCAGAAAACCAAGAAATCCAAGGTCACCCGGATAATCGTTGGGGGATTCCACATTCGTGATGCTACTGTGGAGCAATTACACGCCAAGCGCAGCTATGCTAGACCTTTCAACTCTGAACCTTACAACCTCAGTTAGCACCCGGCACCTGTTTGCAATATCTGCGTTATCTCTTCAGTGACCACCGAAGAGGTCGTCCACTTTCTCGCACATATTATTCAGTTTTTTTTCAAAAAAAAAAAAATCTCCGAAGATGTTTCTTGCTGAGTGTGCGAACCATACAGCCCTGTGCTATGAATTCAACAGCGCCCCACTCACAGTGGTAACTCAACGCGGAGCACTTTTAAGAAACGACAAAATATGTCCGAAAGGTCGGAATTTTTCACATTTCATACTCAAACTCGTGATATGCATGTATGAAAGGTAAATGAATGAAATGAAATGAAACTGAATTAAAATACCGGGACTGCCCGGGCTAGCTGTGCGAGCATCCCTTGTTGGTGATGCTACTAGGATGCTCCAGCACGCCGAGCGCAGCTATGCTAGGCCCTTCGAGCTGTTCTAATACAAATACAAAATAAATAGCAACGTGCACCAAACTAGCCGTGCGATCATGCGATTTGTGCAATTCAGCCCATACATTAATTTATATTAGCCCATATATTAATCATATATTAATTTACCCGTAAAAAATTTTCACGGGGCAGTACGTGTTATCCGCGGGAACGGGAAGGCTGAATTTGAATGGGCAAGGTTGAGCGTGGGCAGGGGGTTAAATTACCTTAAAATTTCAGCCTCCTAGACTCCGTGGTTCCCGAGATATTAATTTACCCGTAAAAAAC